AGGTCTTCACTCCGGTCCTCGGACCTTCCTTTGTTCTATTTTTGTAGGCTACTCCCTTCCTTATCTTTTAGCCACTGCCATTCTGGACTCCTTTTCCCTATTCTAACTACCTAACATTTCTAAGGTTCTTGAAAATGGAACTTGGGCAGGGAGGATGCTATTGCCTTTGTATAAGGTGTAAGAGATAAACTAAAAGAAGATCATATCCAACAGCTGATTTTTTTGGATCTTTTGTCTATTGGCTAGATCAGGGCATGAACCGCCTTCCCTCATTTTTAAATTCTACTTGGAGCTATACGTCCTCACCTCTGATTCCTCATCTTTCTCCCATCCGGCGGTGACAACTGAGGTCGCAGTGAATGACAGTAAAACCTTCCTGGGACCACATGTAATACTTGGCAGGGTGAGGGCTAGGAGGAGGTTAAAAGGACTGAGGGGCTGTGGGGCATTGGGAGGATGGGGTATGGATTAGGTGTAGCTGCTGAATTGCAAGCTGAAGCCTCCAGAGAGGCCTCTCCCATAAACCCACTATTCATTGAGTGGATAGATTTTCTCACCTCAGCCACAGGTAAAAGACTGATTGATTGCTCTTTGGGATATTGTGTAATTGTTTGTTCATTTGTTTTATTTATAGACTATGTTTTTTTTTTCTCCCCCACAACAATGATGGTTAATGCTAGGGTTAGGAAGGATTTCAGAGAGAGGTCAGACAGTTGTCAATAACCAAAGCTTCAGGAAGCTGAAGCTAGATTTTCATAGACTGTAGACTTTTTAATTGGAAAAGTCACAGGAGAGATTTCACTCCACTCTGATTTTGTAATGAAGTGACCTAACCTTGAGAAATAGTGATGGAGAGGAGTGGAGATGAGGTGAGGCAGAGGGAACCTTATAAGCCAGGCTATAAGAGAAGGGAAGACCAAAGACCTACTGGATAATGGAGAGATTAGCTGCCTGATTATTCAGGTTTTAACATTGAGTAAAAGTGAATTATTTTAACTAAAGAAACCGAAATATTAGTATGAACCAGATGTGAAGCATTTAGTTATGACTCATGTTAGAAAAAAATAAAAGATTAGGGTAGTTCTTGGAGAGATAAGGACAGAGGAGCAGCATTGTAATTTACTTGGAGGTGGTGTTGTTCAGTCAGTAAGTCATGTCTGACTCTTTGCGACCCCATCACCGCAGCACGCCAGGCTTCCCTGCCCTTCACTATCTCTCGGAGTTTGCTCAAACTCATGTCCGTTGAATCAGTGATACCATCCAGTCATCTCATTCTCTGTCACCCCCTTTTCCCCCTGCCCTCAATCTTTCCCAGCACCAGGGTGTTTTCCAATGAGCCAGCTCTTCCCATCAGGTGGCCAAAGTATTGGAGCTTCAGGTTCAGCATCAGTCCTTCCAGTAATTATTCAGGGTTGGTTTCCTTTAGGATTGCCTAGTTTGATCTCCTTGCTGTCAATTCGAAAGCATCAGTTCTTCAGTGCTCAGCTTTCTTTATAGTCCAACTCTCACATCCATACATGACTAATGGAAAAACCATAGCTTTGACTAGATGGACCTTTGTTGGCAAAGGGATGTCTCTGCTTTTTAATGTGCTGTTTAAGAAGTGAGGCCTTCCCATGTAAGCTCTGAAAACAAAAGGATAATGCTTCTTCCTTTTCTTTTTTGCTCTTCACTGCTGCTGCCGCTGCTAAGTTGCTTCAGTCGTGTCCGACTCTGCGACTCCATAGACAGAAGCCCACCAGGCTCCTCTGTCCCTGGGATTCTCCAGGCAAGAACACTGGAGTGGGTTGCCATTTCCTTCTCCACTACTCTCTCACATTTTCTCTCCTCTTCCCTTTCTCCAGTCAAGAGTCATCACTGAGTGGGAATCCAGGCTGAGTGACATGAGGCTCTCTCCAATAGTGCTTCCCGAGTGATGGAGATGGTGCCACCCAGGGAACTCACCTGCTGTGTGTGGGGACAGCTGTACCAGCAGAGGCTGGAAGGTGGGGCATAGGGAGCCCTCGCCTCCATTTTGCAGTCTCTCTCTGCCCCACAATCAGACATTGGGTTAAGTGTTATCTCTGTTAGAAGTAGAAATTCAACAATAAAAAGGAGCAATTTGAATTTTAAATTTCATATGGAAATGATTAGGAATATGAATATTGTCAATGGAATGCGTCATCACTGCTACAAAAATAGACTTTGGTATTACAGTAAAAGCAACTGTAATTTTATTTTGGAACTCCTTCTGCCTCCTCTTTCCTTATAATATCCAAGCAAATAATTGAAATAAAAAATTGGCCCTCTCTTCCCTGCTAACCCCACCATTAAATCTCCTCAATACTATCACATTCATTTTTATCAACGTAATAATTCAAAAATGAATCAAAAAGAACACAAACTCTGAAGTTTGCTCTCAAAGCCTTTTCAAGCTCTAGAATTTAGTGTTGGTTTAATTTAATCTGCAGGAATAACAATGCTACTGGTGTTTTGGTTAGTCAACTTCGATGATGCAATGTACCTAGAGAATAACATTCTATTTCATGGTGGAAAATTGTAGTCTTTCCTTTCAATAAGAAGTGTAAGGACTCTTGAAATACAGTGAAGCTTCAAAAGCTAGAAAAAGTAGGTGAAAATATATGAAGTTTGTTTCCTTGGACCTCTCAAAGACTATATCCTTTCTTTAGGGCAGCTAATCACTCTGCAAATAACTTTCCCAAAATGAGGAAGTTTCCTTTAGATGATTTTTTTAAAGTACTTTATGTATTTAATGAAATTATTCCTTTGCTCCAACCCATAAGCAAGATATGTTGACTTTATAGCTCCCAAAATTCCATCCCATTACACTGTGTCTCTGTCTCTGATGCCACCACCTTAGTCTGGCTCTCATCTGTGTTGGCTCCATCTGCTCAGACTTATGCCCCCATTCCATCTTCTCACATACAACAACCAGTGTCCTCAATTAGAGTGTAGATGACCTCCCATCCCACACTGCACCTGCTGAAAGACCTGCAGTGAGGGAAGTTTGGATTCCTCTAATGCAGTCCCCTCTCCCCTATCCTCTTGCTTTCTCTCCAACACTCTGCTGTTTCTTTCATAAGACTTTACAATAATTTGTAAACAGTTCATTTGCTTATTTTTTTATTGTATCATTTTGCCTACCAGATTGTATGATTCATAAATTCAGGGATATTTTTGTCTTGTTCATCTTTGGTTCCTAGTGGCAAGTGCAACAATGGACATGATGGCCTTTCCCCGCAGCATTTTTAAAATAAAAAATTTCAAGCATATACTATAGAGAACTTTATAATGAACACCAGAATACCTCACCCCTAGTTTCTACTGTACTTTCTTCAGCACGTATTTATCCATCTTTCCATTCCTCTATCTACCCATCAACACATGGTTGACTTTTAATACATTTGTTGAATGAATGGGTAAATGAAGAATTTACTCTTCGGTAAATAGAGGTTGATGTCCTAAGGTGACTCAACACAAACACTATGCTTCCTTGTTTCTGTGTGGACACAAGGTATGGGGAACTCTGTCATGCTCCGTACTGCATGTATCTGTTTAGCTCTGTACCAGGCACTGGGCCAGAAAACTGAGGAGGCCAGAGAAATGAGAAATAAGGACAAATGTCCTGCCTTCCAGGGTTACATGCTTGAATAGTGAGAAGATCCAAATATGTTAGTGATAGAAGAAGAAAGAAGTAGAGAATGTCGACTAGAGATTTTTTTTTTTTTTTGCAGTCATGACTTGTTAATAAAGACCAACCAGTGCTATTGCAATGTTAAAACTGCGTGATTTCTTGGCCTTTTGTGTTTGCTGTTGCACAAGTAAGCAGAAACAGTTGTTGACTTAGACAATACCAATAAAGGAATATTTTATGATTCCTAGTTTAGCGAGTGACAAATGCAAGCCCATTGAAACCATGAAACTCCTAGCTTTTTGTTTTTTTAAGTTCTGTACATACCATTGAAATATACACATTATAGAAGCAAAGGAAAACATATAAAAAGTATTGCTTATCTAGGCTAACTATGGTCAAGGTAAAGTGCATCTCTGCCTAGTCTGCAAAATTGACAGAGAAGAGCATGTAGAGCTTTCTTCCTTCTGCATGCAGAGAGTTTTTTTTTCCAACTACAGTCAGTTATATTTTTTGGACCCTGCATTTATTATTTTGATTGCTCAGAGGAAATGCTTACCTTTGAAGTGACATCCTGGGGCAGTGCTTTGCAATATCCTTTATTAAGCTTTACTGTGTCTATTCACATTTATTTTAATTCTTATTTTTAGAAGGAGGATTTTAAGAAGGTCAATGCATTTAAGAAGGTCAGTGATTGAATTCCAAGAGTACTTAGCAGGGGTCCATGTATATAAGGGTGTTGAATCATTGTGAACTGGGAATGCGTCCAAGTTCATGCTTAACTGAGAATCCTCTGTGAAATATTTAAAAGTGAAAGCGTTCTTATAAAATGGGCCCATGGGCCTGGACAACATAGAAATGGGAAACACAGCACTACAGAAGCAGCAGAAGCAGAGCTGAGATCTGGGCTTGTTGTTCTTCTGATCTTGGCTATATCCCCAGGCCCTCACCCCTTTTATTGATGACATTCTGCTTTCTAGCATGTGAGGGGCCCTCAGACAATTAACTTTCATTTGCTCACATTGTCCTCCCCTGGGCTTCTATGTTGCAAATATTTCAGGGCCCAGTATGGTCCTGACCTGGATTTGCTTCCTGGCTTTGCCACTAGTAGTTAAAGGACCTTGAACACGAAATGTACTTTTTCTAAGTTCTAGGTTCCTTATCTGTAACTGGGAGACCTTAATACCTATTTGAACATGTAAAGCATGTCCGCCATGTAGAAGACTCTTGATAAATGTAGTCTTACCCTACCATCTTAAGATCAGTTGCCACCTTGGATTAGTAAGAAATGATGTTTGCAGAGAAGTATGGATGTAAGCATCTATGTGTTGAGTGCAATAGGAGGAAAAAGGAAATCTGGAGGTGGATATTTTATTTATAAAATTAAACCTAATTTTATTTTGCAAAAATCAGCAAATACATGTTCAGATCTGGTTTATCTTCAAAACACGTTTTGTTTTTTAACAAACATGCAAGGTAATTTGGCATGCCAAGCATCTTTCTCTCTAGCTCTCCTTGAAATTTTCTTTCATAACACAAAGAAGGGTGCAAATATTATCCAAAAACTATTTATATCTTTTACCCTCCAGAATTACTAACATTAATATTTATTGAGAGGAAAGGAAAACTGCAAGGTTTGTTCTTTGGCATTCACATTTGACTCAACAGTATAATTAAAAACTTGTATTGGTTTCTAAGATAAACACTTTGAAGTAAATTTAATAAATCTTGTTTTTGCTCTACAAAGGAGCCACTATATCAAAGCATTTAACTGAAGCTGTCGAGTTCCTGCTGGTAGAATATTACTTCCAGCCTATCTATTAGCTTTTCTTCCTGTAGCCCAATATATGATCCCTATCACCCTCTCCACTGAGTGAAAGCTCAGAAAGGAGGCAATTTCTTGTCTCTTTCCCCTCAGCATCATGCAAGGCAAGGCGGCATCACAATCACAATATCTGAATTTATTTTGATTATATATTTTTTCTTATGCTTAAAATTATTTTGTATTATAGTACTTACTGGGTTATCTAAAATCAACACTGTTGATTTTGAACTGTTATAAAGCCAGACTTTTAGAGGCATTTGAAACAATTCATGAACCGTGTCTGATCGGAGTTAATTGCCTTCAACCAATGCCTTCAATTCTTTTGCACTTGAAGGAAAAGAATTTTAGAATCAGCAGGTTCCTAGAAAATAAGACTTTAGGGGTCTATATAATTTATTCAGGTCTTTTTGTATATTGTAAACAAAGATAGGATACTTTGACAGTAGCTTATGAACAAATTTTTAAAAAATATATCCTTCACTACAGAATAGGTTTCAAGGGAGCATTTTAAATATGCCTCTGATAGGTCTCTTATGAGCCTATCTTCCAGAAGAAGCTTATAGGCAATTTACCAATTAAAAACAAAATCTAAACTTATAGATTTAAGTTGAGAGAATATGGTATGTGACGTAAGGTCATTGTGTTATCCATGGTCTAATGCACAACATAGCGTGTACAAAAGAACCTAAAGAGACATCTATCTCAAATTTCAGGCAGGATCTAAGACTGCATAGAGAGGGGAGAGCTTTCCTGGTCAGACAGTGAAAGAAGCCACAGTATTCACCTAAATCAATGCGTTGGAAGCAGCATACACATATGCAATGCCAGTTCGCAGAATGCAGAAAAGATCAATTAGAAATTGTACTGTGATAGCCACACATTTTGGAGAAAAATTCCCAAGCCAGGCGAATGTGGATGGGGATAAAAACATAGGCGGTGTACACCACCATAGCAAAGATGGTTAGTAGGATGGTATTGAACATAGATTGCTCCCAAGGCTCCAAGACAGCACAGCAGCTAATGATTTGATATTGATAGTAGAGCCAGGATAAATAGTCCTTCACACGCTTGAAATCCATGGCTGGTTCCTTCAAGCTGCAGCAAGTCTGTCCTGTTAAACAAGGTAACAGATTAGAACCAAACATAAATAAGGCACTGTACACAGAATCTCCTTAGATTTTCATGATCTCAGCATGTAAAAAATTTTCAAAGAAGGTTAATGATCATTGAGTGAATTACTAATAGGAATATTACATGGAAATAATAAATAGCATGTTAATCATAGGAATTAATAATATTGTCATTATTGCTAATAATTACTACTAGAATTAATAGCAATATTAATAGTAATATTTATCTAAAAATCATAAATGTTAGTAATAATTCTAGTGATACTAGTATCTACAATTGAGGCTAACCACATTTTCTTTAGCCCTGTACATTAAGAGAAATAAATATGAATTTTCTATTTCCTACAACATATATTTTGGAAGAAGAAGTTTAAAAAATAGTATGCGGGAAAGAGTTAATATAGCAAGCCTGAGGCTGCTATCTTTAGAAGGGCCATTGGCTGGCATCTGGGAACTTGGCTTTTGGAATGTTCTCTTCACTCCCTAATGGATAAGGATGATTCACCATGCCTAGACTGTGCAAACACTGTAATTTATGGTGAACACCTGCTTTATTCTAGGAGCCTGGAATTTTTGTAATTGCCAGACAAAGAATGTCCATGTAGCCAGCCCCAATAAAAATCTTGGTGCTGAGTCTCTAATGGGCTGCCCTAGGCAGAAACTTGACATGTATCATGGTAATTTTCATTGGTAAAGAAAGAAGCACATTCTGGGTGTCCACTCATGGGAGGGAGAGAACATCTGAAGCCTATAAATGAATTTCTTCAGACTCTGCCCATGTCTCTCTTCCTTGCTGATCCTGTTGTTTATTATTTGGCTACAGTAAACCTTAGCTGTGAGTGTGAATATATGCTGAGTCCTATGAGTTTTCTAGTGAGGCACTTGACATGTGGTTGGTCTTAGAACCTTGGAAACAAAGGGGAAGCCGAAAGTGTACCTTTGGGTGGTCATTTGGTTTGGGGGTAGAGAACTTATGAAAACCAAAAAAATGTTTTGTTGGCCCTGAGACAGGATCACAGTTAAAAATTCCTAGAAGGAAGGCCATCAGACACTCACAGACATGGTGTGTGTCCTTGTAGATACGAGCTGACCTGTGCTTGTTCTACTTACTCCTCAGGATGTCATGGTGCCACATAATCCAAGTCCATCTTGATGACTTACTATTCAAGTCACAGTTACATTTTATGAAGATCATTCCTATGTTCTGACATGAACGCATCTCTCTTTTCTTTGATTCTCATTTGTGTAAAAGCAATGTATTTTTGCTGCAAAAGACTGTGGACTCCTCAGGTTATGGGGAGATTCTCATGATCTTAAGACCTAGCATAAAGACAGTCATCAGCAAATACTTGCTGAACAAATAAGCAAATGAATGAATAACATGTAACTAACTTAAAAAAAAAAATAGAGATGACTCATAGTCTGGACCTCAGTGGGATATGGTTGGCTATTGCTGATTTTCAACAGCTTGGCTTTGATAATAAGTAACCCTTTCTGATAAGGATAATTTCCACAAAAACTTAAAATGGGAAAGCCTTTGTGTTAACAGGTCATGATTATTTGTAATAATGGTCATAATAATCCAAATAAGTAGATAATACAAACTGAAGTTGTTTTCACTTTCCTATGAAAAGAAAAGTGAGCCTCTCATCTTTTCTAGAAGCCAGAGTGGGGACTAAGTCATTGGATACAAATGCATTGTCTTGGCAGGTGGACTTCAGTGAGAAGTTACCTCCAGTGTTCTTCATTCCTAACTCTAGTTGTAGAGAAAGAGCAAAGGTCAAAGGTCTTAGAGAGAATGAGTGACAGGAGGAGTGATAATTTTAGTGAATAATATCCAAGCAAGCAAGACTTTCCACTGATAGACTGATAGAGAAAATTTGGAGATAATGACTATTTGAGCTTTTAGGCTGTTTCGTTAGACAACTGTATGTTTCAAACTAAATTTGATTTTTAAGAATCTCATTCATGGATACCCATACTTGCTCCCTCTTCATTACTTAGACAGTTTAGGGTGGTGCCAGGTAAGTGACTAGGAACGTGAGAGTCCAGTCATCAGGTATGAAGTCCCAGACTGTGCTGGGTGAAGGTGGGAGAATGATAGTTCAGGGAGGCCCAGACCTTCCCCTTACGAAGCTTGATCCAGTTGGGAAGACAAGTAGCAATCAAACAGTGTACATCAATATATAATTATCAACTACATTATGCCCTAAAGGACAGGAGCGATGTATAAAGGGGCTGTGGGAAAATTAATCCAGACTGAGTATATGTCTCTGAGGAAGAGATATTTGAGGTAAAATCCAAGAGATGATTGTGAGTCTAACAGATAAGTCAGGTGGGGAGAATGGCCAAGACAGAAGAATCGACTTGTGTTTGGAAGGAGTCTGATGAGTGGTTGGGTGGGGCAGTGAATGGAGCACAGAATCTGGGGAGGGAGACTGGGAGTGTGAGAAAACTGAAGAGGAGGGGATGACCAGAGTGAGGCCACACACCCTGAGCTTGAACCTATGAGTGAGGGGGCTCCAGAGGTTTTTAATACGGGAATGCTGTAGTGGGCTTGAGAGGATGAGGCTTAAAGTTCATACAGACATGTTGCCTTCCCTGTATCCTAAAGCCAAGTTGAAATGCTTTTGAATTTTCAGTAAATCTATGCCTCTGCCCTCCCATGGGAACTACTCATTCAGAATCAACCATGTACTGAAAATCTGTTTAAAATATTTTCAATTACTCTTTTTACTTTTATAAATGAGATAAATCACTCTTTTAGAAATATCATTGACTTTTCCCCCTATACATTTTAGCTTTTAAAAAATGTACTAATTAATTGCCTAGCCATTGGTTTCTCTTAAAAAATTAAACTTCTTGCTTGAGCAGCCCCAGTGGACACCTTGATTGTACCCTTGTGAGGGATCCTGAGCCAGAGGCACTGAGCTAACTTGTGCCCAAATTTCTAAGCCATGGAAGTCCTGAGGTGGTCAGTGTTCATTGTTTTTAGCTGTTAAAGTCAAACAATCAAGGAAACAACAGCTCTAGAGCATACCAACATGTATCACACCAAAGCTGGATACCTGGTAAAGACTTGGTTACATATTGCTAACAATTTGAAGGATTAAGATTGAACTTTTTTATTCTCGCCCATTTCTCCAGTGCCCCGGATCACTTCCCAGCCCTCTCAGTTCTCAGCTCTGACAAGCTTTTATGGTCCCATTTCATTCCAGTCTCACAAAGTAGCAGAATCAATAAAAAACATGGATGTCCCCCTTTCCTTTGGTTCTTTTCCCCCTTATTAATGAGATGCAGTTTTAAAGATTATCTATTTACTGTTGGTCATGAAAAGGTGAGAAGAGAAGAGAGTTGGTTATTATTGGTAAACCATCTGCTACAACCTATTGTTAGAATATACAGTATATTTAGATTCTAGATTTGCTTAGATAATATGCTTTTCCTTCCTTTTGAGTCTATTTTTAAATTTCCTATGGGACAACATGCAAGATTTAAGAAAACCACTTTAGACAACTTAAGATGAGTGATGTGGGAAGGAGAATTCGTTCATTCATTAAACAACTGCGCTTTGAGCACTGCTCTGTGGTTTTTTCTGAGTAGTAACAGCTTCAGAAGGAATCCATTCCAAAATGGCATTGCAGACAGAAGATGCTCTTCTTGGCAGCAGCAAACTGGACCAGGTAGCAAGCATGCAGTGATGGGGGACAGGAATGAGCACTAAATGAGGGGAAAGGGCATGGAAAATGCTAAGAAGCAAGCTAGGAAAACTGGCTGAATTTGGGAAATAAGACGAGAAAAATGGCGGGAAATAAGACGAGAAAAATGGCATGAAATTAATTATCCACAGGTAGCCTGGAACTGCTATTGTTGTTGTGTAGTTGCTAAGTTGTGTTCAACTCTTTTGTGACCCCATGATCTATAGCCTGCCAGGCTCCTCTGTCGATGGGATTTCCCAGGCAAGAATATTGGAGTAGGTTGCCATTTCCTTCTCTAGGGGCTCTTCTTCACCAGGAATTGAACCCACATCTTCTGCATCTCCTGCATTGGCAGGATACTTTATCACTGAGCCACCAGGAAAGCCCAACCTAGAACTAGATAACAGCAAACATCTTAATGTCTTAATTTTCACAGTGAAGTGTGAAATTAACTTGCCCTTAAAGACCTGATGGCATATCCTAGTAATGCTAAAAAAAGACTTAAAATGCTTACTCTATTTAAGCATACTATGCATCTCCTTGTTTTTAATTATGTGTTTTTTAAAAGATGATTTCCTGTATATGGAAAAGAGGGGGCAAGTAGTTTGTTTTTTCTCTTCTTCCTGCTTCTTTTAATTTTTCCTCTAAACTTGATGATTTTTTAAAAACCCTCTTAAATGTTTAAGGAGGTTGTGCATTCAAAGGTGACACTGCCTAAGCACACGGCGGTATGTGTTCAGTAGTACAGTGGCCTGGATGGGTTTGGCTCTAGCAGCTGAAGCTGTGTGTAATGCCTTAAGGCGAGTGGGGAGGGCTGGGAGCCCCTGTGGGACACAAAGTCAGTGAAGTGCTCGGTAAAAAATGGGGGTGGGACAAAGGCCAGCACTGTTGCTTGGAGGGATGGATTGTGAGGCCAGAGGAAAAGGTTTCTCTGGGCCATTGTTTGATTTTTAATGTTTCTTTCTTTTAATGGAAGTATAGTGGTCAATGTTGTGTTAGCTTCAGGTATATAGCAGTGATTCAATTTCTATGTGTATTTATATGTGTAAGTGTGTGTAAATATACGTGTATATACATATATACGTATGTATGTATGTATGTATATGTGACTAAGCCTAAGCACTGGTTCAAGTTCTGACTCCCCCACTTGCTGGGCATGTAGACTTGGCACAGTTACTTAATTATTCTGGACCTCAAGTTCCTCATCTGTTAATGGAAATAACAATCCCTTCTGTTTAAGGTTGCTGTTAGGATTAGCAAAAATGCAAGCAAAGCATCAAGTA